AAAGCAAATCAATTTCTACTTCCCTTCCCCCCCCCAAACCCCTGGCTGTACTTAAACCCCCACGACCGCTTCTTCGCTCATCCCACCCCCCAGCAGGGTTGGCCCAAACCTCGCAAGCACCGCACCGCATTTTGAAGCCGGGCCCCTGCCTTCTAGGTCACAGGCCGCACTGTTTACTGTATCTGGGGCCAAGGTTATCTCAGAAACATCAGAGGCGCGACTCTGTCCCTACCGCTTCGTCCGCCAAAAACAAGAACAAAAAAGCAAAGAGAAAACCAAAACGCCATGCCGTCTTTCGCTTGCAGCAGGAAACAGCCGATGCTATTTCTCACCGGGCGGGCTTTTACAGACTGCGGGGCGCAGGGCCCTCACTCGCCTGCTTTATTCTCTGCTATCAACTCACCCCGGACAGGGCCCGGTTGGAGCAGAAAGATGTCCGAGCACATTAGCTAGCATGGGTCAAGCACCTTACAGTCTACAGCGTGCCTGTCCTATTTAATCCTCACACCGACTCTGTGAGCAAAGCATTATTCGCCTCATTTTACGGAGGATGCTGAGGCTTAGGGAGGCTAAGAGACTTGCCTAAAGGTCACCCAGCTGGGGTGGGGGTGGGCACAGAGCCCAGAAAAGAACCCAAATTCCCTAACGTGCAAGCCTTTCTCTTTCACAATCACCCCTCCCGGCCTTGAAATCTGAATGCAGTTATTCATTAAACCACCACCTAGTACCTAGTAGCCTTAAACGGGAATCTCTCGCTTGGCAAGATCTTGTCCCTTGTTGTCTTTGACCCCTGCCGTCCGTGGCTTTGCCCGAGCCCAGGGTACACGCAGGCAAGCACCCGAAGGAGGACTAAATGCAGGATAAAATGACACTCGGTTTAAAGATATGTCTCAGCAAATGAGTTGCTGCGTCGCTGGCTGCAAGCCCAGACCCTTTCAGTGAAACATCCTAAATAATTCAGACCCGTTGGTCTATAATATAAAGCGCAAACGTAGCTCGTTTTTTAGACCAGTTCGAACATCAATAATAATAAACCAGAGATAACGTATTTTGTTTTCAGAGCATTGGAACAAATTGAACTAGCTGTGCAAAAGCACATTGGATCAAGGGGCAGAGGGGACAAGGTCTAATCTTTACGGCAAGCAGCCTTCCCAGAGAAGGGACTATTTCTGAGAAAGGGAGAGGAACCCCGGGTCGACGGGACCCGGATACACAGTGACTGGGAGCACGACAGATGCGCCGCCGTCCTCCCTAGGGCAGGCACACGGACAGGCTAGGTGGCAGGGAGTTTGGCTCTTGAGTATGACTGACAACGAGAAATGCCTCTTTTGCTGCCCTCTTCTTCTTTCTTTCATTCTGAGGTCAGCTTTTACCTCTTCCTCTTGCAGATCTAGCTCCTATTGTTTTCTTCCGGGCTGTTTCTCTTAGCTCAAAGCGTGTACCCGTCTCCCCTCTGGTTCTATTCATCCCTTTCTCCCGAAGCTTCCTTAGAAGTGTGGATGGAGCCGGAGCGTTCAGAAACCAGACTGAAAGGCTCCCTTCTCATCCTGACCCTTCCCCTCTTGCCGATTCTTTCCTCCTGTTTTCTTTCCACCGGGGTCTTCAAAGGCTCTCGAGGACTCTCGGAAGGTACAAACTTCAGGAAGGGCGGACAGGACACACAGCCCATCGCTACATAAATAAAGCAGATCTTCAGCTCTTTTCAGACCTTTTCATTTTTAATTCTTTGTATTAAAAGTTGTTTCTCACCTGAAACCGATAGGACGCACTATGTCGACTGACTGAAATTAAAATAGAAACTTAAAAATTTGGTTTTAGGGGCGCCTGGGTGGCTCCGTCGGTTGAGCGTCCGACTTCGGCTCGGGTCATGATCTCGCGGCTCGTGGGTTCGAGCCCCGCGTCGGGCTCTGTGCTGACAGCTCGGAGCCTGGAGCCTGCTTCGGGTTCTGTGTCTCCCTCTCTCTCTGCCCCTCCCCTAACTTGTGCTCTGTCTCTATCAAAAATAAATAAACGTAATAAAAAAAAATTTTTTTAATTTGTTTTTAATTTGTTAAAATTTGTTTAATTTGTTTACAATTTTTTTAAATGTTTTTAATTTGTTTTTTAATTTTGTTTTAAAGTGGTAAAGAATTACCACTTTAGGGGCGCCTGGGTGGCTCAGTCGGTTAAGCGTCC